ATCTCTTTGAGACTTTATTACGTGTAAAAATATTAATCAGAAATAATTATGACAACAATACCTTATTTACAATACTCCCAGCAAAGCACATAGGGGTTTGAACTTGACTTAGATCCCACCAAGCTCCATATGGACTAGAACCTTGACCATTGAAGACACAGGCAGGGAGAAGAGGGGCTTCCAAGGATGAAGAAGAATCAGGGGCTGTGGGCCTCATGAGGGAGGCAGAGGGAAGAACCATTTAAAATGCTCTAGGAGGGGGCTTCCCTGGTGATCCACTGGTTAAGACACCACACTTCCACTGCAGGGAGTATGGGTTTGAGCCCTGGTCAGGGAACTAAGATCCCATGTGTTGCAAAGGGTGGCCAATAAATAATTTTTTAAAATTAAACACAAAAATTTTAAAAGCTAGTATAATATTAAAAGTAAATACAATAAAATAAAATGCTCTCTAAAGGTAAAGGAGCATGACAGAGGACCACCAAGGGTGAAGAGATGAGACTTATCAATAATCAAATATGAATGAACTTGACCCGTCTAATAAAACCAGCCTTGGAAGAAGTCAAATGAGAAGTCACTTCTCAGGTCCCTTTCTTCCTTAATACAGCCGACTGTCTGTCCAGGAAGACTAATAAGGTGATTAAGGCAACTCCTCTTTCTGAGCTAGACCGTGGAGCGTGGGACCACGTGGCCCCTCGATTCCCTGTCCGTGTTTTGAGGGAGAGCAGGATCAGAGTCAAGGCGGTGGCGTGAGCCTTCTCCTCTGAAGACAGCGCAGTCCATGCAGACAAACGAATGCCTCAGGTACATTTTTATTATCCCAGTTCTAAGAACATCGTGGTACTGAGCCAGATCCTTCCCCTTTCTTGAAACTGGGTAACTTGAGATGCTATCATAACTCACTCGTCCATTTCTAAGAAAGCGGTAGAAGCAAATAATGTCTGTTCTTGCTGGTATGAGATCATAGTATAAAGTGAATGTGTACCTAGCGTCGGGGGCACTAGCCCCCCCGGGGTAATTCTGCTTAATGTGGTGGGAGGCAACTTTGGTTGAGCGAAGTTGCCATAGAAAGGTGTAGCTGGCAGACAGGGGATGGGGCCTCCCTGGCCCGTGAAGCATGCTGGAGCCCTTGTTACATACCACTGTAAGACCGGGACTGGAGAGCCTGGGTTTCCACCCCTCACTCTGATCCACTCCATCTAACCACGAAAACAGGTCTGGAAAATGAGCCCAAAGAAAGGAACTGCTTCTCCTAAGGCCTTTGGCAGGACAGCTGGTTTAAGACACCCTCTCCACGCCTCCCTTTAACCTTTTAGTCCAGTCCCATCCTTCTGGTCCAGTGAGAGAGGCCTCTTCCATGTGGCAGGGGCCTTTATTGTCTTCCCTCTTTCCATGAACAACCTCTCTGGCTCAGCACGGAGCTCATTTCTGGCTGGTTCTCCCTCTAGAGATCAGTGCAGAGCTTCCCAAAAGGTGACCAGAAATAGGCCTCTGGGGAGGGCAGTGTTAAACCCAAACAAAATTCTTCACTGCAGTTCTCTCTGGCGCCCTGTACTGGCTGCTGGGCCTTTGGAAGAGGAGTGAGGCATGCCAGACTTCCCAAAGTTATTAGTCCAGGGAATTCATTTTTTAGTAGCTTCCCTGCTAGCTCAGACAGTAAAGAATCCGCTTGCAATGCAAGAGGCCTGGGTTCGATCTCTGAGTCGGTAAGATCCCCTGGAGAAGGGAATGGCTACCAACTCCGGTATTCTGGCCTGGAGAATCCCATGGACAGAGGAGCCTAGAGGGCTGCAGTCCATGGGGTCGCAGAGTTGGACACAACTGAGTGACTAACACTGCAAGCAAACTTTCAGAACATCCCGGACTCAGGCAAACTTAGTGATGTGCGGTGTTAAGGTATCAACAGGTCTGAGAGCCACTCTGGCATCTTTGAGTGACTCCACAGTGTCCGTTCTTGGCCGCCATGGATTGCTTTGATTTGTCACAGAGTTCTGGGGGGTACCTGCCTACCACCCCTGCTGGTGACAGCCTCACAGATGGTTTTCCAAAGTCACACTTGGCTAAGTCAAGCTCGCCTGACCTTTTCACACGGTTCTAGCAAACTCGCAGCCGTCCCCCAAGGGCATCTCCTCACCCTGTACCACTATAGGCAGAAGGAGACGAGGAGTTTTTCCCATTGTCCGGCCTCATTTCCATCAGGCCCACCCTGATTTCTTTCTGCCCTTGTGTGTAAGTTCTTTTTTCTCGCTCCTATTTGTGATGATCTGACCTTTTCTGGGGAATAGCTGGCGACGCGGCCCTTTAAGCAGCCTGCCTAGGCTTTTTCCCACACCGTCCCTTGCAGGGTCTCCAGCTGTGGGTCTGTAATTCTCTGCTGTGGCTGCAGAAGACATTGCCACCCAGAACGAAACACACAATGACAGTGGCCGTTTTTGTCTGACCATCAAAGTCCATCGTCCACAGCTTTACGGAGACCTCGCTGAGGGTCTGCGACGGTCTCTATTCCTGACCCTCTACTTCAAGTGCAATTGTGTGCAAAGGTTCAGTCTCCAAAATAAACCAGACTTCAGTCCTGCCTTTGGCATTAACCAACTCATTAAATATAAAATAAACACAAGTAAATGGTTTTTAAATCTCACTGACAGAAAGCTTGGCAACAACTCTGAGATTCTAGAGGTCACTGGAACCTCTGTCTTAAAACTGGAATCTTCCTCCACTCTGAGGAGCAGGAGACTCTGCACAAATGAGGAGGGGGTGAGGTACCCCTTTGATTGGAAGGCTGCCCTGCAATGCACAGGACAGGGTCTGCATGAGTGTGGCCTTTGACACAGACTGAGTCCCTCGGGAGTGGCTGTTACTATTGACAAGGGGTTAGAAGTTCCAGTCTAAGGCATTCACCTTGCCTCTGAATACTATCTAGGGCCAGCCACCAAACCAACCTTGAGTTTCTCATCACTGTCTAAGTATTGGCTGCTCTCAACAGAACTGATAATCATATGGTTTCCTAAATCCTGTGTGCGTTCTGCCACGGATTTCCAAGGTCCAATTAGTAATGCTACTTGCTGAATTCTTATTGGGTTGGCCAGAAAGTTCGCTTGGGTTTTTCCATTGTATTGGCCAATCCAGTATTTTTACTTTAATTTATCTTTAGTTTCAACATAAAGTGAATTTATTGGGGAAGGTGATGGGCCAAGGATGACTGATCAATTATTCTAATTCCACTTCACTTCAAGTGTGGGGAAAACAAATTGCAATAATTCACCACCCAGAAAACATATATACGTGCACCTGTTACCTTATAACTTAACCTCAGAGCTAGGCTAGGTTCCAACCATTACTAACGGCTTTTATAAAACCAAAGTGAAACATACATGGCTTTAAGTTAAAAAGTATGTTTACATGACAGCCCTTCAAAGACGAGAGCATGCCTGAGGATGTTGTGTGTGTGTGTGTGTGTGTGAGTGTGTGTGTGTGTGAGGTGACAGAATGATTGGTTTTGCCCATTCACATCTGTCAGCTTCAAAGTCTGACTTCTTGCCAAGAAGTGAGTACAACCTGAAACTAGTCAAAGCAACTTCCATTTATTTACAGTTTTGAAACACATTTTTCATGACTTAGCTTCCTAATACAAAGAGCAAAATGGCAATGAAAGATAAACATCATCAGATACTAGTTATATAATTTGATCAGGAGAAAAATTAGATACTGGTTGTTAAGTGAATTGACATATGTTTTCCTTTTCTCCTTTGAAAGATTTTATTCAAAACCTGAAATAAAGTGGTTTATTTCAAATCACACAATCACATTTCTTCTCATCCATGGATCTCACAACTTTTTCATCCTGGTTTTGAGGAGAAGCAACCAGCCTTGAGTTGATGGGACCAACAAGATCCAGAAGGACCCCGTGGCAGCACAGCCACGCTTTTAGGACCAAATTCCCACAGCAGAGAAGCAGAGAATACCTAGAGTTTACCTCAGTTTCTTTCAAAAAATTTTTCTAGGACAGAAAACTAAAACCCATCCGTACGTTTCCATCTTTTCAACAGCATGGCTGAGCTGTGACAATGCCACTAGGTGGCATCCTGTCCTCTCCTGACCATTTCTTTGGGCATCGTTTCCCAGGGCAACCCCAATAGCATCCCAGACAACAGGAGACAAGGGTGCCTCGCCTACTTAGCATGACTGCTCTCTCTTGTATACTGGGAAAAGTCTGGTCTCACCAATGGGATATAGTTGATACTCTGTTTCATGGCAAGGAAGATTTTGTTTGTCTTCCGTTTCTCCTATTCCATATCAGAGTCTGACAGCAGTGCTGCTCTCATGAGTTGATTTTCTCCCCTGACATCTCTGCTGTCCTGCCACCCAAGGCATAATGTGCCATGAAGGATCCATCAAATGCCCATGGACACTAGGAGGTAATAGTGCCAGATCCAAAATGATCTAGGGAAGACGAACGTCTAAGTGTTTACTGAAGGTCAGGCTCTTTATACCCTTTTAAAAGCCTGTCTAGGACTTGAGGGGGGAAAGTGAAGTGACAGTCCAGCCTTATTTGGAGTGCTATTTAATTTCCATTGCATGCTAAGGCATGGGGTAAGAAAATATTCCAGAACATTCTTCTCAATTCCCCCACCCTTTCTCTTCTCTCCTTTTCCCTAAGGCATAGCAGTGACATGATGGAGGTTATGAGTAGGTGAATGGAGAAGAAGGAGAAAGAATTATTCCACAATCATAGTTAAACAAGCAATTTTTAGAATCCTGCCTTGTCATTTAGGTGACTTACTGAAGTCCTATTAAGTTATCAAACCTTTGCTTTGTACCCTGGGATGCTGGAAGCACTGGGACATGAGGAAGAAGTCCAGAGAAAGATGAAAAACTTGGAGACTACAGTTCTAAAGAAAACGCTGAGGAGTCAAATGCCCATTCCAAAATACTGTGTTTCAAGTGTTGTCAGTTTTGAAGACATTTTTGAAAGGCATCTGCTATTCCAGGACATGTGATTCCTATTCCTGGCCGAGCAGGTACACAGGGTCTCCCACGTGGATGGTCCCTGGGTTTTCCAGAACAAAATACTGTCCAAAGAGAGGTGACTTTCCATATAACTTTCGTTCAGAAGGGTCACACAGGCGATAACTGCAACAGGAAAAAGACCATAATGAGTCACAGGCAATCAGAAGAGCTCAAACCGGGCATGATTTCTTCTCGGCTGACGGTCCACCCCACACAGGGCCTCCATGTTGCCCTGCTCCAGCGAGCGCAGTTCCCTTCGAGAGTTCAGAATAGCACCTCCTGGCGTTGTGTTCAGTGCATAAACTACAAAAGTACAACCAATGGCCACGTTCCCACCTCTTTTCTCTTTGGAATGTTCCCTTTTTTGGCATTAAGGAATTAGGGACTCAATATGCTCAGACATTACTTTATCACTTCCCTCGGTATCTCTCCTCCTGACTCCACAGCTGTGATCAGAACCACAGCTGAGCAGTCCGTCAGGCTGAGAGGCCAGGAGTCATCCTTTACACCGGCTCCCTCACTTTCCAGTGTGTTCATAGCTGCCAGGTCCTGAGGTTTTTCATGTACCACGCCTTTTGAATTTTCTCACTTTTTCTTCCACTATCACAATCTCACTTCATGCATCCTCAGACAACTCTAATAACTCTTTTTCCCCCCATGGTTTGGTGGTTCCTCTGTGGACTCCCCTCCCCCAGTTCCCCAAGCACTAGAATTCTACCTTTTCTTCAAGGCCGAACTCCAAAGCCACATGTCCTGGGAAAGAAACTCAGGATCCCCTGGCTAGGAGTGGTCTCCCCATCCTGGATTATCTCTGCTGCCCCTTGAACACACACGTGCTGTGTCCTGCACTATTAGAGCACGTCTGTCTGTTCTACAAGACAGAGAGTCTGTGGAGAGCAGGAAATGTGACTAACTCCCTTGTATCACTCACACCAAGGCTGGACCCTATATGTCACCAGTGACCCACAAACATTTATTCAACAAATGAACGTGTTAGTAAAACCCACCCTCTGTTAGGAGCAGTATTCCTATCTTTGGAGCTTCTGCAGTGGCTCAACTGCAAAGAATCTGCCTGCAAGGCAGGAGACTCGGGTTGGATCCCTGGGTGGGGAAGATCCCCTGGAGGAGGAAATGGCAACCCACTCCAGCATTCTTGCCTGGGAAATCCCATGGCCAGAGGAGCCTGGCAGGCTACAGCCCATGGGGTCACAAAAGAGTCAGACACGAATGAGCAACTAAACAACAACAACAAATTCACGTCTTTGTCAGGCAAAAAACAAGAATCCCCAGGAAAAGTGTACACGGGATGTGCGTGAATAACATGGCAAGATTCTCCCGTCCTCCACCTCCACCAGGAAAAAGTTTTCCTTCTGTCTCTCATTTAATCTAACTCCAACTTTAATCATTTTTATATCATTTTGATGGAAAGCACTTTTTCATTCTACTGTGTTCTGAGAAAAAAGACTATTGCAACAACTCAGACCTAATTTTGTTCTGCAAATCAGAGGTGGCTAATGAGAAAATGGGGAGGGCAAAACCTCTAGCCTCTCCCTGCATTTGCAGGCACTATGTCTGTTCTGGTCATTGTTGTATGCCAACAGCCTAGTACGGCACCTGGTACATTGAAGCCACTCAAAATGAGGTTGGTTGAGCCAACGAATAAATCAACAAGCGGATGGGAACCATGAGCCACTGATCCAGCTGATCCTGCCTGGCCAACAACATTCCCCTGCTCTGTAGTCAGGTCTCTGCAATGACGCTGGACCCTGGGAACCAGGCACGTCTCCTAGCCTGCCTCTTCGCTCTCAGCCTGCAATACCAGGGACATTTGGAGATGTGTCTGTTGGAGGGTGACTTCTTCAGGATGGAGGCAGATCGGGCACTTTATGACTCGGGATTTCTGCTTCTTACAAGCTGGGTAGCCTGAGGCTCTGATTATCTCAGTGAGGGGATTGAGAGCCAGTTCTGTGCAAACACTGACAGTTTACAAAGAACATCACACAGATTATCTGTTAATCCCTGAAACAAGCCTATGTGGGAATATGTATCGTCCCCACTTCACAGGGAGGTCTCAGAGGAGTAACAGACTTGCCCAGGATCTAAGTGGTCAGGCTGGGGCCAGAACTGAGGTCTGGCTCATTTCAGAGTCGGGACTTTTCCCACCAGGGATGTGATCCCGGTCATCGTTGTACCTCCTGGATACTACACACACACACATGAGAAGAGGTGAGGGGGTTAATATTTATTCTGCACAAATGTTCAGCCATGCACGGGTTTCCCTGCCCCTTGCCATCACTACTCATGCACACAGGTACTCTGCCTCCAGGTAACTTAGGAAGGGAGGATTCTGCTAAGGGTTGGGCCAAGGAGTTGGTTTGTAGGCGCGGCACTGCCTAAAGCCCCCAGCTCAGTCCCACTTAGGCTCCTGCTGACGTTACCACTGGGCTGCAGGGAGACTCGACAAATGAGATCAACAGTGACCCCTTGTGGGACTGAGGCAATATTGTCCACTGTAAATTCACATCCACACCAAGCTTTTTGTTCAAGAGACTGAAAACAAGGCATGATCTCATACATGGATCTTCTTTGATTTTCTTTTTCCCAAATATACAAATTTTGCTTTTGCGGCTGATGATAGGATTGTGGTGCTGTGACCCCATGGACTGCAGCCCACCAAGCTCCTCTACCCATGGGATTCTACAGGCAAGAATACTGGAGAGGGTAGCCATTCCCTTCTCCAGGGGATCTTTCCAACCCAGGGATGGAACCCAGGTCTCCTATAGAGCAGGCAGATTCTTTACCATCTGAGCCACCAGGGAAACCCTGATGGTGGGATTAATAAATTACAAATACATGTAAAAATCACCTTTCTTGGGCTTCCCTGGTGCTCAGTGGTAAAGAATCCACCTGCCAATGCAGGAGACGTGGGTTTGATCCCCGGTCCGTGAAGATTCCACATGCCACACAGCAATTAAGCCCATGCGCCACAACTACTGAGCCAGTGCTCTAGAGCCTGAGAGCTGCAACTACTGAAGCCCGCACGCCCTGGAGCCTGTGCCCTGCAACAAGAGCAGCCACCTCAGTGGCCAACCCAGCACCAAAACTAAAGGGTAGCCCCCGCTCACCATAACAGAGAAAAGCCCTCAGAGCAATGAAGACCCAGCACAGCCAAAAAATACATAAAATCGCCTTTCTCAGTGAATCTTCTCTTCCAGTGAATATGAAACACACTACCACTTTAATGGGAGACACACATTTTGTTTCACTTAAACAGAGGTCTCCATCCTTAAGGGTGTGGTGTGAGTGGAAACTGTTACCTATAAAGTGCTGTGGACTGGCGAGAGCTGCTTGCTTTACTCACTTATTGGTCAATGCCCAGACCATGGATTGCAAGCTGGGTCTCTGATCACCGCTGGGTCCCCACCGAGGGCACAGGCCACTTCTGGGGACTCCCAACCTGTTATGTGTACGATCAGGTCAGGAATAAAACAGCACTGTGAAGACAGGAGGGGCTGAAGGCCAAGCAGGTTGGGCTGCTTTGCCTTTAATGCAGCCTCAGAAAATGGAAAGAAGTGTCTCCAGGATTTTCCTTCTCTCAGAATGTGCCAAGCTCATAAGCTGAGCCTATCAATAACCACAGTCTACATGGTCATTATGTATTTTATCATCTATTTTTAAAAGTAGTACTTATTGCTTTATTCTAACCAAGGGGGAGCGTAAACCAGGAGAGGTGTTATGAGTCCATGCGTGTGCGCTCTCAGCTGTGTCCGACTCTTTGCAACCCCGTGGACTGTAGCTCACCAGGCTTCTCTGTCCATGGAATTCTCCAGGCAAGAATACTGGAGTGGGCAGCCATGCCCTCCTCCAGGGGATCTTCCTGACCCAGGGACTGAACCCTGGTTTCACGTGTGCCCTGCACTGGCAGGTGGATTCTTTACCACTAAGCCACTTCCTCTTATTAGGTCAGTTTTTGCAAATAAACTGAAACATCAAGCATGTATCTGACTTGCCAATGTCACACAGTTACGGGGGCAGGAGATGACAGAGCCTGGTCAGGTGGGAGGCAGCTGTCTCCTTCCATAGTATCACCCACACCCAATGCTTCTGTCTTTACCCTCAGCACAGCACAGGCTGACACAGGCGGAGAGCAGCAAATGTCCCTGTCCAAGTCCTCCTGCATTTAACAAAACACGTGTATTGACAGAACAAACGAGCTGATTCTTCCTATTGAAAGGAACAATGACAGACCCGCACGGCTCCTGTGGGATCAGGGTGGGAGTCACTCTCCCTCCAGAAAGAAAAGGGTCATTGCTTCTTCATATTTTCCTGCCAGCAGACCGGCCTCCACTGTGAGTATTTCACAAATACTGCTGATCTGGGCCTGCGATCAGCAGCCATTCAGCACTGGCCTCCCGGCTGAGAACCTGCCTTCCTGGATCAGCACAGCCCTGGGGCCCAGGGGGCCCAGGAAGAGGGAAGGCAGTGTGCCCAGGTACCCTGCCCAGGAGGACAGCGGGGAGCAGAGGGGAGGCCCCCAAAACCGCTTTGCTTTGCTTCTGTGATTTATGTCAGGCGGCCCAGGCCTTTCTCTTCCTGATTTATGGCCATCTGTCCTGGGAGGGACATAAATCATGGCATCTATGGCAATTTAAATCTCAGTAAGATACAGAAGACACCTAGGCTGGCTGCCCCGTCTCCTGGGGTATTAAGAGCAATTAGGGTGGAATGGCTGGGCTGCTGAGGGGCAGCAGGAGATCCAGAGGGCTGGGCTGCTCCCAGGGGTCAATTTTCCTCCTTCTATAAACACAAGATCCCAAGGGAAGGAGGGGCCCCAAAGGTTCAGAGGACTGGCCCCAAAGACAGACACTTTCTGAATCCAGAAGGAAGGTACCAGGCACCAAGCTCTGTCGGGAGGAGAGAACAAGATGATGTATACAAATGGATGGCAGTCAATTCTCCAGATCATCTGGCTGGCTTGTATACAGAACCAACGGAGGTCTGTCCTGTTCCACTGACTTCACAGGGAGGAACAGCCAGGGCCTGAGCTAGAGAGGAGCCTGCTGATCACCTGGCAAAACCAGGACTGCTAACCCCATGGCGGGGTGCTGTCCCCCACCTGCCCTGCCTTCCTCCTCCACAGAGCTCCTCGGCAACCACAGGAAAGTGGGAAGATGGAAGAACTTCCAGTCTGTGCTAATTGTGAGTGAGCCAGCACATTTGGAGGAACCACCAGTCCTTTGCTGCAGCTTCTCAGACTCGCTCCCCTCCAGAGTGTCCGGTCACAGCTAATAAAGTCTTCTCCAACATTTCATCACGACCATCCTCAAACAAATGGGGCTTCCCTGGCGGCTCGGACGGTAAAGAATCTGTCTGCAATGCAGGAAAGGGAGTCTGTTTCGTTCCATCTTTCACCAAGCTCGTTAGTCCAAGCTCTTGAGATCACAAGTCTCCTTTGATCAGCACCCATCCCTCTCCTGGGCTTCCCTGGTGGCTTGGATGGTAAAGAATCCACCTGCAATGCAAGGGACCCAGGTTCAACCCAAGTCAGGAAGATACCCTGGAGGAGGGAATGGCTACCCACTCCAGTATTCTTGCCTGGAGAATTCCATGGACAGAGAAGCCTGGTGAGCTACAGTCCATGGGGTTGCAAAGAGTCGGATACTACTGAGTGACTAACACTTTCATCATCAAACAGGCAGATGAGTTAAAAGAATTTTACAGAGAACATTCAATTGCCAGTCATTTGGACCCTACACATAACATTTTACTGTATTTCCTCTATCAGATATATTTATCCATCCATCAATCCATCATCATTTTTTTCCATTTCCAATTAAGTCACAGATGTCAGCAAATTTCACCTTGAAACAGTTCAGCTGGAATATCATTTCCTAGGGTTAACATTACATAACTATTTTTGAGGGGTGATAAAATTTACAAGGAGTGAAATGTATAAATCTTAAGTGTTATACCTATTAACTTTTGGTGGTTGTTCGGTTGCTAAGTCTTGTCCGACTCTTTTTTTTCCTTCTTTTCTCTTTTTTTTTTAATTGAAGCATAGTTGATGTACAATAGTATATGTTACAAGTGTAGTGATTCATGATTTTTAAAGATAATACTCCATTTATAGTTATTATAAAATATTGGCTATGCTGCCTATGTTGTACAATATATCCTCGTAGCCTGTATTTTTTAACTTTTTATTTTGTATTGGAATATAGCCAATTAATGGGACTTCCCTGGTGGCTCAGAGGGTAAAGAATCCGCCTGCAAAGCAGGAGACACGAGAGACTCGGGTTTGATCCCTGAGTCAGGAAGATTCCCCTGGAGAAGGGAATGCAAAACAGTCCAGTATTCTTGACTGAAGAGTTCCATGGACAGAGGAGCCTTGCAGGCTACAGTCCATAGGGCTGCAAAGAGTCAGACACGACTGAGCGACTAAGCCACACACACACACAGACACACACACACACACAGACACACACACACACACACAGAGACACACAGACACACACACACACAGACACACACACAGACACACACACAGGGACACACACACATAGACACACACACAGACACACACAGACACACACACACACAGGGACACACACACATAGACACACACACAGACACACACAGACACACACACAGACACACACACACAGAGACACAGACACACACACACAGAGACACACACACATAGACACACACACAGACACACACACAGACACACAGACAGACACACACAGACAGACACACACAGGGACACACACACAGACACACACACAGGGGCACACATACAGAGACACACACACACGGACACACACACACAGACACACACACACACGGACACACACACACAGACACACACACACAGACAGGGACACACACACACACAGACACACATGGACACACACACAGACAGACACACACACACAGAGACACACACGGACACACACACAGACACACACACACGGACACACACACACAGACACACACACACAGACAGGGACACACACACACACAGACACACACACAAACACAGAGACACACACACAGGGACACACACACACAGAGAGACACACACACAGACACACACACACAGAGACACACACACAGAGACACACACACAGAGACACACAAACACACAGACAGACACACAGACACACACACACACACACAGAGACACACACACACAGACACACACACAGACACACACACAGGGACACACACACATAGACACACACACAGACACACACACACACACACACACAGGGACACACACACATAGACACACACACAGACACACACAGACACACACACAGACACACACACACAGAGACACAGACACACACACACAGAGACACACACACATAGACACACACACAGACACACACACAGACACACAGACAGACACACACAGACAGACACACACAGGGACACACACACAGACACACACACAGACACACACACAGGGGCACACATACAGAGACACACACACACGGACACACACACACAGACACACACACACACGGACACACACACACAGACACACACACACAGACAGAGACACACACACACACAGACACACATGGACACACACACAGACAGACACACACACACAGAGACACACACGGACACACACACAGACACACACACACGGACACACACACACAGACAGGGACACACACACACACAGACACACACACAAACACAGAGACACACACACAGGGACACACACACACAGAGAGACACACACACAGACACACACACACAGAGACACACACACAGAGACACACAAACACACAGACAGACACACAGACACACACACACAGAGACACACACACAGCTGATTAACAATGCTGTGATAGTTTCAGGCGTACAGCAGAGGGACTCAGCCATACATACACATGCAGGATTTCTCCCCCAAACTCCCCTCCCATCCAGGTGTAGCCTCCTCTTTGAATGTTTCTGCAAATTCGCACTCCATGGTGGGGATCCAGAGAAAAAGCAGCCATCTGACCTTCACCTCAGTAATTCAGAATCTCCCCTCCCAACCTCTCTCCAACCCACTTTGTTTGCCTCTGCTCCTGACCTCCCTCTCTCTGCCATGTGGCCTGGCCTTGGAATGCCGACTGTCCACCTCACTATAGCCTGGTCTTGATGCAGGCCGCTGGTCTCCATGGACCACAGGTGCTGGCTTCATGCCTGGGGGCAATGTGCTGTCTGGGACAAAGCCCCCACCCCCAGGCTTCAGCCTGCCAGGGAGGGGCCAGACAGTAGCTTCTGGGATAGCAGGATCAGCAGAGAGCGATGTCTCTGTACATGCTCAGCTGTGTCTGACTCTTTGCAACCCCACGGGCTGAAGCCAGCCAGGCTCCTCTGTCCATAGGATTCTCCAGGCAAGAATACTGGAGTGGGTAGCCATTCCCTTATCCAGGCGATCTTCCTGACCCAGGGGTCGAACCCAGGTCTCCTGCATTGCAGGCGGATTCTTTACCATCTGCGCCACTAGGGAAGCCCAAGAGAGGGATGAGTGCTGATTGAAGGAGACTGGTGGTCCAAAGAGCTTGGACCAACGCACTTGATGAAAGATGGAACGAAACAGATTTCCATTCCAGGGGAACAAGTTTGGTCACACAAGTCCCAGTATAACCTCCTCTTAATGTGCTCTTCATGATGCCTTTTATGTCAGATGGCCAAACTTCCACTGCATTCCTTCCCCAAGTCTTCTGGGGCTTTGCCTAAAGCAGGAGTTACCAAACCCCGCCCCCCAGCTTCCCTCTCCTCCTCTGCAAGTAATATCCAAGGATGCATGTCAGGGCCCAAGCCAAAGGCCTCAGGGGCTGAAGAAACGAGACCTGACAGCCCACCTGTGATCCTGCATTCAAAACAGAAGACCAGGGAAGATGAGTGTCACTCTGAGGGTTTCCACCATGTCCTGGCTCCAGATTTGCAGAAAACAGAAGGGCATGGATCATGAATTGTTTTAGCAAATGTACTGCAGGTTGCTTAGAGAAAGTTTAGAGGCTACCTATCAGAATATATATTTTCCCCATAATTCCATTACCAAAAGAACACCTTCATTAATGTTTCAGTTTATAGACTTCCAGCCTTTTAGCTACTCAGGGGAATTTATATATTTTAAAAAGGAAAATAAAATAACAAAAAATCAGTACTATATATGCAATTTCGTAATCAGCTTTTTAAAATGAACATTATCATAAATATTGATCTATACAATTTAAACTTACCTGTCACTTTCATTAAAAAATTTTTACTGCGAAAATTTTAACATAAACAAAAAAGTAGAAAAAATAGTGCAGTGAATCCCCACCTAATTGTCACCCAGATTCTGTTTATCAAGACTGACATATTTTTCCATCTGTGCTTTGGCCAAAATTTCAGCACACTCCAGGTATCACCTCACTTCACTCCTGCATACTTCCACATGTTCCTCCAAAACAGTTGGGCATTTCTTAAAGCACTAGAAAGCCCTTATCACACCTAATGAGTTGGTGAGGTCACCTAATGGGAAGTCCATGGTAAAGCTGGTCAAAATATCTAAACCATGTGTTGTTGCTTTTTAACTGGTGTGCTCGGATCACGAATTCTAAATGAAAAGTAAAATTAGTTGTGCAAGTAGGCATTCCAAGATCAAAGCACCCAGGAATATTTCCTAAATTACCCAGTCACTAGTACCCGCTTCTACTTCAAGAATACTCCTGCATGGTGTTCTCCCTGCTTCTTTGAAGAGATATTAAATCGCATGGTCATACCTCTTCAGGGTCTCCAGGGGCTCCTTCCTGCTCATGACGCCGGTATCCGGGTCCACTGTGGTTAAAATGCACCTGGATACACACACAGGCATCATACACTGGACAAAGCAGACAGTCCCCTTCTCCTCCCGTTCTCGAGCAGCAGTGCGGGCGTCTCACCTGGAGCAAGCCATCACCCTTTTCAGTTCCACGTCACCAATAAGAAGCTCATTCCATGAGTCCTGGGGCCAAAGCACAGAAGTCCGGTGAGCACCTCAGAGCCCCAGCCCTGACTCACCCCTGTTGGGGGGATGTCATGGGGTTCGACAGCTCAGCAGCCATTTCCGTCAGTGATGGCTGACTTCACATCATGCCTTCCTGTTTCCACCCTCCTTCTTTGACCTGTCAATTCTTTCCCCTGAAATGAAACGCTCCCCTTCCTCTCACTTGTAAAACCAGAATTGAAACTCATCTCTGAAGAATAAATACTGTATGGTATCACTCATATGTGGAATCTAGAAAAATGGTACAAACGTAATTGCAAAGCAGAGAGATGCTGACATAGAGAACACACATGGATACCAAGGGGGACGAGAGGGTGAAAGGAAATGGGAGATGGAGGCAGACACATATACGCTATTGATACCATGTATAGGATAGATAGCTAGTGAGAACCTATACAGGGAACTCTACTCAATGGTCCTATATCGGAAGGAAATCCAAAAGAGGTCATATAGGTACAAATATAGCTGATTCAATTAGCAGAAACTTACACAACATTGTAAAGCAACTATACTCCAAGAAAAATTTAAAAATAAAAATAAAAAAGAAATTCATCTCCTTCAGGAAGCCTCCCTGACTGACCCTGCCTGACTGGAGGCAGTGGGGAAGGCAAGGGTAGGGGCAGATGCAGGAAGCAATGGAGAGGGGGATTACTCTAGGTTGCAGGATATCCTTTCCTGCTCCCCTAAAATGGATTAAGATCCTTAATCATTGCATCTATTTACCTTGTATCTCCCCTGAATGGATAGGAACAAATCTAGAGCAGGCCAGTAACCTCACTTCCCTTGACATCTCCAGAGGAGCATTTATGAATACAAAGCTCTCCAGCCCAGGAAGGTCCTCGGGCATTTGTCTATGGCCTGGGTCACTGCTGCCTACTCTAAGGACAAATCAAATCAATGGACTGTGCCTCTCAAATCCAGCAGGGGAGACAGCACATACACATAAGAAAAGTGAATGATCAGTATTCCTTTTAAACGGTCCAGAAAACCAGAGAGAAAGCACTGTAAGACAGCACCCTTGTGCTGATCGATCTGTGCAAGCAAGCCTGGTGATGGTGGTGTAGAGAAGAGATTTTCAGGCTGCCCTGCTCTGGTCAGGGGAGGTTTTAAGGAAAAGGTGGGATCTGAATTGAGTCTTCCAGGGTGGAAACTTTGAGAGACACAAAAAAAGGGTGAGGAACGCAAGGCAATAATAAGAAGGAAGGACGTCTGATTGTGGTCCTGACCATCTTACCCTCACAAAGGGGCTGAAGACAAGAATCCAGAGTTAAAACAAACCGGCCCAGTCCTTTATTGATCACAAGCCAGAGAGAAAGTTCCAGACCCAGAATTTTAACTCTAATAGTGTGTGTTATTCTTCATATGTGTACTGCAGCGTTTTGTTTGTGCTTTTTAATCATAAAATGAGTCTCTTACATGTTTCACAACAGTCCAAAATGTTGGGCACCTCAGGTTAGAGAGCCCCAGCCTGTTCTGTGTACATTTCTCCACCAGGAGGCACTGTGGTCCCCCCAAAAAATATGCATCCTTCAGAATAACCTAATCAAGCATCAAAGACCCTCACACCTTAAAAAAAAACAGTTAAGTCCAAGGAAAGGAGCAAGGGAGGCATAGCGTTACCTCTGCATAGACACCACAGCCTGAAATTACGATATTGGGCCTGAAGTTAGCTGTTTTAACTTTCTTCTCTAGCCTGGAGTTGAGATCTGCCAACGATGCCTCGGAAAGGATCAAGAAGGGACTGGCATCTGAGTACGGGATCTGATGAGGAAAGAAAAATTGTTGGAGCGTGACACACACAAAGGCATTTCTCGGAGGTCACATGGGTCTGGTTCCTGGAACCTTCCACCCCTCCCTCACCCCACCTCCCCACGCAATCTTTCTAAGTATTTCTCTATTTCTTTTTATAGCAAAGTCACAGCGATTCAGAAGCTTTCAATAGCCTTGCAGATAACAGGAACTGCATGATGGAGTGAAGAAAATGGGGTCTCAGAATCCTAGAGCTGCCCCTTTCTCATCCTCCAAAATCTCACAGGTTGATCTTAATAAGGTGGTTGGGTTTGATGACCTCATTATGTATGATAAAAAATAGTCACTGATTCCATGGATATGTATTTTTCATGAAACATGCAAATCAACATTCAAAACGGCTGTGGCAACGGTGCCACAAACCATTGTATGTTTCACTCTTAGGATGAATTTTTAAAGCCTTATTCCTTTAAGGGCCAGCCTGGTCATTTTAAATCTGTGGATCTCCATGCCTATACTCATTTGCCCAACTGAGATCTGACACAACATGGCAATCCCAGTGTAAAAAGGCTGGACTTCTCATGCAATTACAGAGGGACTGGGAAAGATACTGACCTAGAAGAGTTTTGAAGCCATGTTGGCACCAGAAGCTTCTATAAGTAGGAATTTTTGCTCTTGGGCAAAAATGCAAGAGTCTCCAAATCGAGAAACACAGATGATGCTCCCAAGGTAAGGGCTTTATTTTTTACCAATAGCTTGTGACAAAAGTAACAGCTTTTGTCCTAAGAGATCACAAAAGATAAAAGATGAGATCTGAGCTCAGCAGACATGTGCCATGCTCTCCCCTTCCAAGGAAGCCTGCCTTCCACAGGACACACAGTGAAGGCCAAAAACCAAGGGGCAATCCTCTGACCTGGTCCGTGGGTCGGAATGCGTCTTCCACTTGGTGAGAATTTCTCGGTTGCATGTGGGTTTCAAAGTGCACCAGGCGGTAGGGCTGCGTCTTCAGGAAGTCTGTTATCCACTGGGCCGCGGCCTCGCCACAGTCTCTGCCCTCGATCTCCAAGCCGTGCACTCTGCGAGGGGTGGGGACAAAGGACACGCATGACTTTGACAACCTGGACACCCTGCCACGTCCCGCACAGATCCGAAAGTCTGCACCTCGCTGTGACGTCGCTGCGGTTCCTTCATTACCAGGAGACGTCATTTTAGCCTGGCCCTGACTCTGAACCATGTGGAAACCCAAATAAAGACAGAATTTCAATCCCTCCTTTCTCCACTTTTTTTATAGTTGATTTACCATATTGGGTTAATTTCAGGTGCACAATCTAGTGACTCAGCTTTTTTGCAGATTATACTCCATTATAGGTTATTGTAAGATGTTGGATGTAATTCCCTGTGCCATAGAGTAAATCCTCGTTGCTTATCTATTTTATAAACCAGAGATGCAGATGCAGCTTTGCGATGCCTTGCCTGAAAGGAATGCAGGCAGAATAAAATGAAATCATGTGTTTGAAAAGAGAGGGAGTTCTCCAGAAGAACCCTAATATATTAGTATAAAATAAAATAGCTGCAAGAATATGGTTCACCCAGTTGGACAGAAATCTTTATTAAAAGGCTGGTATAATAACAGGGGCTTCCTAGATGGCTCAGTGGTAAAGAATCCACCTGCCAATGCAGGAGATGCAGGAGACCTGGGCTGGATCCCTGGGTCAGGAAGATCCCCTGGAAAAAAGAATGACAACCCACTCCAGTATTCTTGCCTGGAGAATCTCATGGACAGAGGAGCCTGGAGGGGTACAGACCATGGGATCGTGGAGTCGGACACTACTGAGCGACTAACACTTCCTTCCTTCCATATTTCAGGTTTTTTAAAAGTTGAATCAATTTAAAGAAAAACATCAAGTAAGTAAGTGGTTTATAATTCAACATAAATCATGATCATGTTTTGAAAATGCTGAAGTTTGGGAAAGAGGACAGAGTCAAGGGACCTATGTCTTCTATATGAAATGTCCACTTAGTTCCTCTGCCCATTTTTTAATTGGATCGTTTGAGTTTTTATCCTGTTATTAACCCCTTACCAGATACATGTTTTGCAAATATTTTTTCTTATTTTACTGATAGTTTTCTTTTGTTGTACAGAAGTTTTTTAGTTTGATGGAGTCCCATTTATTTATTTTTGCTTTTCTTGTTTGTGTTTCTCATATCTAAAAAATCTCTGCCAACCAGGGAAGCCCTTTCATCACACTGGTTGACAGCAAATCTCTCCCAGATTTGGGAATTTCTTAGCTTCAAATAATCTTTCTGCCACCTTCTATTTCTCTTCTCCTTCAGGAACTCCAATAATTCACAAATTGTTTCTTTTAATGATATCCCATGGACCACATAGGTTTTATTCACTCTTTTTTGTTGTTCTTTTCTGACTAGATAATTTCAAAGATCCTGTGTTTATTCTCACAGATTCTTTCCTTCGCTTGATCCATTCAGCTGTTGTTGCACTCCACTGCATTTTTAATTTCATTCATTTTATTCTTCCCCTCCAGAATTTCTGTTTGGTTCTTTTTTTTTTTTTTTTTTAATGATTTCTACCTCTTTAACTTCTCATTTTGTCCACTTATCGTTTTCGTGATTTAATCAAATTATCTTTCTATGTTTTCTTATATATCACTGAGTGTCTTTAAAACAGCTATTTTCAGTTAATTGGGCACATCACAGATCTCCATGTCTTTGAAATAGATTAGTGAAAAATTATTATGATTCTTTGGTGATACAATGTTTTCATGATTTTTTTGCATTCCTTAGAGTTTTGTGGTGCTGGCTTTGCATCTGAAGTAGCACTCACCTCCTCCAGTCTTTACCAACTGTTTTCCAGAGAAAAACACCTTGCGTCAGTCCTGGTGGGGATTCTGAGGCTTTCTCAGGCCTTCTCTGGATACACCTACCCTGTGCTTCTTGCTCTCTTAAATGGCAGAATTCTTACGCTTGTTTGCTTTCTCTCAATCCTGAAACCCATCAGGCCAAATGCTGTCAGATTCCCTTTCTCCCTTCGAAAATGGCACTAAAGCTTAAGTTTGTGGTCTTTCCTGGCCCTGCAGATTTAAGCTACCTTCCTGTACGTGCTCACTGTACGTGCTGTCTGCCAAAGTTTGTCGGAAATGCATACCGGGAGCCAGCCAGAGTTGGCGGTGATGTGGGCGAGGCATGCTAAGAGTTGGGGGTACCTATGGAGCCAATTGGGGGTGTCAATTGAAAAAATGCACAACATGAGGGCTGCAAGTTCAGTTTAATTTGGGGACTTACTGAGGACTATGGCCCAGGAGACAGCCTCTCAGATAGCTCTGAGGAAATGCTCCATAGAGGTGGGGGGAGGTCTATTCATATGTGATTTTGGTGACGGAGCATTTGTGCGATCAAGCACACATCTTAGTAGAAGGTTGCTGCAAGAAACAAGGGGCAGATTTTATTGATTTTTTTAGGTATGAGAAGATACGAGAATTTGGGCTCATAAAATCTTCTGAAAACATCTATCTGAAAGCTGTGAAACAAGTGTAGTGGCTATGATCATGAACTTTTGAAAGTTTTGGCCCTCCAAATGCATCAAAAATCTTTAGGAAAGTGAGCTGAAGTTACAGTTCCTTCACAAGAGAATAGCCTGGGTTGCTAAAGGAAATCTAAGTTCAAAGGATTTTTGGCATCTTTTATCTATAGCACGTCTAAGCCTCCTTATTTTGCAATTTCCCAACATGCCCTTGTGTCGTCTTTGGGGGAATAAACCAAAAGCCTGTACAGGACCAGGAAAAGCTTCCACATAATTCCAAGTGAACCAATAGTTAAATGAAAAATTGTTAACCACAAGAAATTATGGGTGAATGTCTCACCCTGGCAGGCAAGCAAGAACCAGAATATGGAGAAACATGAAATACACATTGCAATAGGCATATTGAAAAGTCTGCCTCAGGCAATCAAAAATACAAATTAAATCAGTAAGAAATTACCGTTTTTTCTCACAAAAATGGCAAAAGATTTTTGAATATAATGGTCAAAAAGAAATGAGACACATAACCTGCTGGTAAATATATACCTGGTATAATAACCACTCTGCAAAATGATTTAGCACTATATACATGTATATGCATGTATATATATCTATATAGTATATAGCTATATCTTATCAAATGTCTACAGGAGGGCTTCCCTGGTGACCCAACGGTAAAGAATCCACCTGACGATGCAGGAGACACAGATCGGGGAAGATCCTATATACTGTGGAGCAACTAAGTCCATGAGTTAGCCCTCTAGAGCTCGGGAGCTGCAGCTACTGAAGTCTGCATGCCCTAGAGCCCATGCGCAGCAACAGTAGAAGCCACCGCAATGAAAAGCCCACGCACCACAACTAGAGTAGTCCCTGCTCGCTGTAATTAGATAAAGTCCATGCAACGAAGACCTAGCACAGCCAAATAAATAAATAAAAGTCTACAGGAGTCATACTCTTGTTGGTGAAACCACTGCTAAAATTTTTTCCCTAAGGAAATAATAAACAATATGAACAGAGATTTATGCCAAGTTATTCATCACATTCTTCTTCATACCTAGAAAAAAACTGAAAACAATCCAAATGTTTAATCTTGGGGACATGTCAAAAGGCATTCAAAGACATTCATGGGATGAAATATCACACCAACATGAAAATGGTATGTTTGAAGACTTTTTTAACAATCTGAAAAATACTCAACCTGTCCACCTAAGTATGTGAATCATATTCAAGACAGTCTTCTGTAGTATTTCAATGGTTTTTAAAGTATTAGCAATTAGAGACAGAAAGAAGATATGTCAAAATACGAATTATAGATGTCTCAGAAGGGTTTTGTTTTGTTTTCTTTTCTTTTTTTTTGGTATTTTCCAATTTTAAACAATGAATATGTATAACTTTTATAATCAGAAAAACCAGCAAAATGTTGTTCAGTCGCTAAGTCGTGTCTGACTCTTTGCGATCCCATGGATTGTAGCCCACCAGCCTCATTCTATCCATGGGATTTTCCAGGCAAGAATACTGGAGTGGGTTGCATTTCCTACTCCAGGGGATCTTCCTGACCCAAGGATTGAACTCGAGTCTCCTGTATTAGCAGGCAGATTCTTTACTGCTGAGCCACAAGGGAAGCCCCAAATTAAAATTAAAACATTGTATTTACAATTCTGATATTATGGAAATTATATTAACTTTGCATTTTATGAGTGTTGGGGTGTCTTTAGGCTTTTTAGGTAACTTCATTTTTTTCCCAATCAAGTAGCTACATTTTTTGATGTGATATTATTCTCTATAATAGGCTGTGGACTAATTTAGCATTCACGTTGCATTTTAATTCAAAAGGCAGTCATTATTACAACAGTATAATTAGATCACATCTTGACTTTCCCGTAAAAAGATTTTAAAAAACCCAACTCTAGACATGATTTCTTAAGACAGAGCCACTTTTCCTGGAATAATTGCCCCCTTGTCCTTCTGATGTTAAGGAAAGAGCCTCTGTACAGAGCAGCCTCCTCCCTGGGCATCTGCAGGTCAGGTCACTCTTCTGATTGCAGACATTCTTGTCTATTCTGGAAGTTCATTAGGACTAAATACCATGTGTCATATAGCCATTTATGACTCCTTCCATAACTCAGATTTGGAAAGTTCCCAGTCTTTCCTAGCAACACAGAGATGATTCCAAGGTAACACATGGATCTAACCTCACCTCTTCTAGGATTCTCTCTCCACTCCTTCTGCCCCAATTTGCATCCTTTATCCACTGGTGATGTTATGTCAATATGCCTTTGTTCCCATAGTTTACTGCAAAGGGCTTTTCTTTCTCTGCTCCACATCGGCGCATATTTTTTCTGAAGTTGCCCCCTTTCCCACCTTCTTTTAGATCATCACCACGTTGAGAACTTGACCCTACATATGGTACATCTGCAATCAATAGTTAATTATTGATAACATTTCTCTGAATTCCCTCCATAGCCCACAGCTTGACAAAACTGTACGAAGAAATATTCACGTCAAGATTAAGGTCTAGCCTTCCCTCACCTGCACTTGCGCACCACATTTGTGGTGGGCGTCTTGATGGGCAGCTGCAGGTCCTTGGTGTAGGCCGCACTGAGGGTCAGCGCGTCACCCTCACAGGTCAGGGAGATCAGGACCAGGCGGGGCTCCTGTCGCGCTGTGACCATGTTCCCCTCTTTGTTGATCACAAGCCAAAACCTGCCATTTTCAAAACACAAGATATGCATGGCCACCATGGCAGAGAGCCAGTCTCTGGGGGAGCTTCAGGGGTGCACTGTCATCTTTGATTTCCTCGCTGTAAGCCTGGTGTTTCTGTGTGTGTGTGTGTGTGTGTCTGTCTGTCTGTCTGTCTGTCCTAAACATCAGTTCATCAGTCCAGCAAGACTGAATCTGTCAGTTCATTTCACAGTGTTTAATAATCACTTATGCATCAAACAAAATATCTGCAAAACATTCTGAGCTCCTTGATGGCACAAAAATCAAAGAAGTTGTATCTTCATCTCAGTTGCCCTAAGTAGATGATATCTCAGAGAAAGACAAGGAAGCCTCGTGCCTGGCACCAGGAGGCATTCCTGCTGGTGGAAACAAGACACTGCTGTATTGTTCACAGACTGTGGAGTCGAGGTGAACAACAATCAATGACACTTACACTTCGCCAAATCCACTCCCACCTTTCAAAAAAGTTAATGTTTCAGTAATCAGAGCTGTGACTTCTGCAATTTGTCAAAAGGGCTATTGTTAATGTGGACAATATTCTTTTTTGGCTCAATACTCAGAGTCTAGAGGTACTTCCCAGAACAAAGAGAAATCGAGAAAGAAGAGCAATAGAATGAACTGTTTCCAGGAAAAAAAAAAAATGATGCATTTGCATAGAGGGCGCTTCAGCTACCCAGGAAGCTAGACACACTAACATTTTGGTCATTTCCATTCATACTAAACAGAAAGACCCTGATGCTGGGAAAGATTGAAGGCAGGAGGAGAAGGGGACAACAGAGAATGAGATAGTTGGATGGCATCACCGACTCAATGGACATGAGTTTGAGTCAACTCCAGGAGTTGGGGATGGACAGGGAGGCCTAGTATGCTGCAGTCCATGGGGTCACAAAGAGTCAGACACGACTGAGTGACTGAACTGAACTGAAGATTCACACAGAGTGGAATGATTATGACAAGAGTCAGTTTGTGTTTCTTTTTTTCTTTTGTGTGTATCTTTTTTTTGGCCATTCATATTTTTTTTATTTTTCATTTTCTTAATTTTTATAATGTTGTGCTGGTTTCTGTCATACAACAATGCAAATCAGCTGTAATTATACACACATCCCATCCCTGCAGAGCCTCCCTCCCCTCCCGCCATCCCATCCCTCCAGTTCATCACAGAGCGCCAGACTGGGCTGCCCATGCTACACAGCAACTTCTCACCAGCTATCCGTCTTACGCCGGATAGTGTATATACATTGATGCTACTTTCTCCATGTGGCCCACTCTCTCCCTCCCCAGAGATCCACAGACATAAGTAAAAAATATGGCAGACAATTAAGATCACCACCTCCAGCAGGTGGCTGAGTTGCTCAGCCCTGCTAAAAAACAAACTTAGTGTAAGTCCTGTGCTAAAGGAACTTCCTCTTGTTGGTTCTTCATCCTGGACACAGTTCTATCCTGGGTCAGATCCCTGGTACCAGCACTTGAATATTCTTTCTGCTAATTCTTCCTTGTAATAGTGGTAGTCTGATATTTCTAAAATACAAATCTGATCATGTCACCCTCATGCAAAGTTCCCCCATAGTTAAATTTTTAAAATAAAACCCTAACTCTTCTGCAAGACCCTTTACAATCCAGCTGCCCTCCCAGTCATTCTCACCATCCGTGATCTCACATATGCCAGCCTTTCTTTTCCTTTTCAATTTTTTCACTGTGGTAAGATACACACAGCATAAAATATCCAACATATTCTTAGGCATATACCCAGAAGAACTAAAAGCAGGAACTCAAATAGGTACTTGCGCACCAATGTTCACTGCAGCATTATTCATGATGCCAAAAACAAAAACAATGCAAATCTCCAACAACAGAGAATGGACATGAAAAAAATAGGATCTGAACCATATTTAAGCACACAATTCAGTGGCATTAAATAATTTCACAATGTTGTGCAACCATCACCGCTATCTATTTCCAGAACCTTTTCATCATCCCAGACAGACACTCAGTATCCATGAAGCAATAATTACCTATTTCATTCCCATCTGGCCCCTGCCCCTGGCTATCTCTCACTTTCCCTCTCTATGAATTTGCCTATTCTAGATATTTCATATAACTGGAATGATACAGTGTTTGTCCTTTTGTCTCTGGCTTATTTCACTTAACATAATGTTTCCAAGGTCTATGCTGTAGCATGGATCAGAACTTCATTCCTGGGTAAATAATAGTCCAGTGTGTATAGACCACATTTTCAGTGCCAGCTAGGAAGTCCTTCCACCCGCTCCTTCCTCTGGCTTCCCCGGCACTAGTCACATTGAGTCAATTATCATCTAGGACTGCAAGCCTGTGTTTGCTTCTCTTTATCACGTTTTCTGATGGGATGATAACAAAAACAGCTCACCTTTCCACTGCCTCGTGAATTACCCTCTGCGCAGCCAGGAGAGGGAAATTTACAGCCTGCATCAGACCTGCCTGTAACTGTTCCCTGCAGAAACTGAGGACTGGGCTGGGAGGGAGTCTGAAGAGCAGCCTTACAGTGAGGCTGAAGCCAGACCCAGAAGAGGACAAAGCTCCTTGCTCTGGGCCCTGGTAATCTTTGCTGAACCCCAGGAATTCACACAGGTCATGACCACCCAGGTAGAGTAAAACCAGGGTTTACAAAGCACCAGCATTCTAAAGGAAACAAGAACCATGACTCCACTCACGACGGGGTGGCTCTCAACCTAAGGGTTTTTTTTTTTTTTTTACCCATAAAAGAGTGCATGAGAAAATTAGAGAAAATAACATAAGCAATAGCACTTTTTAAGCTGCAAGAAGCTTAAGCTTTAACTGCTATGATTACGATTATGTGCTCCACCTTGGTGTGCTCCTTGAAGGCTGGGCTCCAAAGCTCCTTGTGTCCCCAAGTTCTCAAGAGATAATTGCTAAAACTAGAGTGGCCGGGACTAAGCCTGTGAAGCTCGCGTTTCCCGCTAGACTAAGTTGAAGTTCGGTCGCGCACCGGCAGACACCTGGGGACAAATGGGAAGATGCCGCACTTACTCTGGAGCGCAAGCCGTGAGAGAGCCGGTGGGAGGTGGAAATACAGCCATATCCCCAAGGAGGGTCGGGACCCTGGGTCTGCCGTTGGCAGCTGATGGCCCCCTTTTCTCTTTTTCCTTGCCTCCCCCCGTCACCCCCCTCCCCTCGCCAGATCCCATTTTGTAAGGGAAGGATCCTGCAGGCCTCCGCCGCTCCCGCTGGCGTTCTGAGCCCATCCCGCGCTGTTCCCGCGTCCGGCCCTACCTGTCCCGCAGGTGGCCGCTGCGCAGCCCCAAGGCCGTGCACTCGGCCGCGTCCACCGACACCCCCTTGCAGGACTTGACCGGGTAGATCCACAGCTCGCTCACCGTGCCCACCTGCTGCAGCCGCCGGCGCCGACCGGGCCGCGCGCGGCGCCAGGTGACGGCTCCCAGCGCCACCGCGGCCAGTCCCAGGGCGGCCACCCCCAGCCAGCGGGGCCCGGGCGGCGCGGGGAGGCCCGGGCGGGCCAGAGCCGAGGAGCCGGCGGCGCCCATGACCCAGCGATCGCGGGCGGCGGAGGGGCCTCCGGCGAGGCCCACCAAGGACGCGCCAACCTGAGCCGGGCGGGAGCGCGCCCGCCGCCCGGGAGTGCTGGGGGAGGTGCGGCCCTCGGCCCGGAATCCAGAGGAAGGACGACTTCTGAACCCCTTTCCCGCCGATCGGAAGGTCGAGTCCTTCCCGCGAGGGGTGGCCCGGGGGAGCTGCGGGTGGGAGGGGGGAGCACCTCCCACCGCCTCCTCCACTTCCGCCGCCTACGGCTGCAAAGCGAAGTACCCTCCCCCATGATCTCTAAGAGTGACCGTTTTATTTACGTATTTGTGGGTTGTTTATTTAACCCAAAATTTTTTTAAGAGTTCGCAGGACGCATCAGGCAGCCGGCAGATCCCTCTCTTGGGAATAAGGAGCAACGGGCACCCGGTGGCCTTCGCAGGGTGCCTGGCTGCCTTCAGCCACTCTCCTCATCTGCGGGCTGCTGGGGCCGGGGAGCTTTGGGCCGGTGGGAATCTGAGGGCGAGACTCGAGACTAGGGTCTCAGGACCTGCAAGCCCAGGTATTCAGGGCCGCAGCCGGCAGCTCCGAACAGCAAAGCCAAGCAGAGACTGCCCTCTATAGGACTGCACACTTGGCTGGCTCCTCCAGACACAAAGCCTCAGAGACGCAGCTGCATTTGCCAGGAACTCTGGCTACGAGCACAAGGTCACGAGGCTTCTTCAAGGCAGCAGGGAATGTCCTGGGCAACCCTTTCGAATTGTGGTGCCAAAGACTCTTGAGAGTCCCTTGGACAGCAAGAAGAACGAACCAGTCAATCCCAAAGGAAATCAACCCTGAATATTCATTGGAAGGACTGATGCTGAAGCTGAAGCTCCAATACTTTGGCCACCTGATGCGGAAGAGCTGACTCACTGGGAAAGATTTAAGGCAGGAGAAGGGGCCGCAGAGGATGAGATGGTTGGATGGCATCACTCACTCAATGGACATGAATTTGAGCAAACTCAGGGAGATGGTGAAGGATGAGGATGCCTGGCGTGCTGCAGTCCATGGGGTCACAAAGAGTGGGACATGACTTGGCAACTGAACAATAACAACAAATCCTTGTAAGGCACTGAGGTCAGGCTCTTGTCACAAAATCAGGCCATGTTTGGGACTTTCCTGGTAGCTCAGTGGTTGAGAATCCACCTGCTGGCGCAGGGGATATGGGTTTGATCCCTGGTAGGGGAACTAAGATCCCACATGCAGCAGGGGCAACTAAGCCCAGGCGCTGCAGCTACAGAGAACTCCACACACTGCAGTGAAGAGCCTGTATGCTGAAACTAAGACCCAACGCAGCCAAAAATAAATAAATAGATAAATATTTTTAAAAAGAAATACCAAAGAAAAAGTACAATTGAGAATCACATTTATTCAATATATTCAATGATATTCAAGAAACCACAAAATTATAGGTGAGTTCATTCATTCACATGTTACATCAGTGAGAATTCTTGTTTAGTTATACCAGAATAGTTCAAAAATTACCTGCATCTAAAAAAAAAAAAAAGGTTCATGATTCCTTCCTCCGATTGTTATTCTCAAAATTCCTTTTGCTTTCAAACCCCATTCTCTTCTTTATCATACTTGGAATTTGCACTGTTTGTCCCTGTCAGTTACAACTACTTTTACATGGCTTAACAGAGGCATAATCAAATCAAGAAACAAAGTCTGCAGAATAATTTCCATTTCAAATACAGCACAGTTCCATAAGATGGGGGCAAAACCACACGAGCAAAACTCAACAGGACTCAATGGCAACGTTAAACCCAATAAGAGGGATTTGTGTGTTAACGTGTTAAGGCACACTGGAAATCTTTTGTTTCCCATTTTTCCTAAAATACACAACAATACATAATAAAATATAAACATTCAGAAGAAAATTGTAGCTTATCAGTTGATTCTTTCAACTTTCTTTACTCATCAGTATTAATGTCAGGGACTGAAGAAGTGTAATAGCTACCATCACATTCCAAATAATTTTATGGACAATTGTATTTATTTTAAAAGTCTTCATTACCTAAAATCTATGTGCGTTCTTATTCCCAAATCACCTTTAATACTTTCCTTGTATTAACTCAGAACATTTGTAACTCCAAAAACAGGTTCATTTCCAGGATGAAATTACCGGCTGGGTAATAAGGATTTGCCCAATAGTGGTGCTGCTGCGGTCATAAAAGTGCTGATCAATGCCTCTCAGATGCTGAAATCTGAATAAATTGTAAGAATCTCTGATTATTTTTTTTCTCTTACTAGTCATAAGTAATTCAAACATGCACAAACCAGTCACTTATTAAGGTTAAAATGCAGGAGATGTAAAGTATGTCCTGCACCAAATGACCCTGGCAAAGGCCAGAGCCAAGGATCTTTCTCACATAGCAAGTTGGGGGCGGGTGGGAAGAATCGTTTTGAAAGCAATTGGTCAAAATGCTGAAAAAATGCCTATACCCCACAAGTCAATAATTCCACATTAGAAATCTAACTTATAGAAAAACAATCTTACAATGCTCTGCATACAACAATGTGTATGTGCTCAGTCACTCAGTCCTATCTGACTCTTTGCTACCCCAGGGACGGTAGCCCACCAGGCTTCTCTGTCCATGGGATTCTCCAGACAAGAATACTGGAGTGGGTTGCCATTTCCTTCTCCAGGGGATCTTCCCAACCCAGGGATTGAAACTGCATCTCCATGTCTCCTGCATTGGCAGGTGGATTCTTTACCACTGAGCTACCTGGGAAGCAACAACTGTGTCTACTAGAATTTTACTGGTAACAAAATTGGATTATAGCCTGAGTGTCAAATAGTATAAAGTGGTCTTTACAAAGTGTCATGTAATGTTAGGAAGCCATCAAAAATGACCTTTGAACAGGCTGGAGGACTATGAAAGGGCTTATGATACATGGTTTATAATTCCTAAATACATATTTATAAGCTCATAGTTCATAGATATACATGTATATGTGTGACATATGGTATGTGGACAGGAAATGCTGCCTGCCCTTTCAGTAAACAAAAAATGTTGCCCACCAACCCAGTTTTACAAGAATCAAGCCATCAGTCCCTGCAGCTGCCCAAGGAAGGTGTGCCCTGAGGGCAATTCAGGATGGAGAAAAAGAGCATTCTGTATTCTGTGCTTTAGACACTGGCCCTAGATAGTTAAGGGGCACATCTAAGGAATCATTTCAGTGAGCTCAGATGCCTGCATCTTCTCAAACACGGAAAAGTACTACAATCATTAACTTGAGATTTCTATTCTTTGTGATTACCAGTAATCCTTGGATGTTCTACTACAAGGGTCAGGCTCCTCCCTTACCTCTTTGGAGCAGTTCCTCAGAGCTACCTGAGAGGCTGTCTCCCAGGCTATAGTCCTCAGTAAGATCCTCCAATAAGACTTCACTCACAACTTTTAGCCTGTGCATTTTTTTTTAGTCAACAGATCCATATTTGTATATATAAATTATATACAATAAATACTTGCATTATATATGACATATATGATTCTATCATACAGATTATGATATATCATATAGATCATGGCTACCTTAAACAAACAAACAAAAAACAACCAAAATAAAATTTACAAACAGTAACAATGGGCAATTTTTTCTTCTACATTTCTGGTGTCTTCAACATTTGCTGTGATGATCATGAACTGCATTTATAATGGAACATATAAGCTTCTATATAATTGTATTTTAAAAGGACCAAAAAAACCAACTCAAGTAACCCTTATGCAAGTAGTAACAGCTATTTTTTTTACTGACTTTAATCAACCTGTTGGAAAAAGGAGACCCTCCAGAATCAGAAAGCATAGTAGCATTACCATCAAAGTAAAGGGGGCAAGGTTATTGTTTTTAAAGCCCAACAGAAATGCCCACCAGAGAGGAAGCCCCTGGTGCCACTGAGGGGCAGGCAGTAGGGATGACTAGATGCCATGTCCCCCAGGTGGGACTCTGAGGGGCTGACACTTGACCCTCATGAAGTGGAAGCATGTTCAGAGCAAAGAAGCAGGAGACAGCCATCAGGAAGCACTCGGGGTCTGGGCAGGGGAGTGGTGATGAAAAAGCTAAAAGGGAACTTAGGACCAAAGGTCAAACAGCACCTGTGGCATGCTGACAGTCTGGGCTCCCCACACTGACTCTCTGCACCTGTGACCTCCACCCCACTTAAGTCACATGCTGTCACACCTGCCTGACCTTTCATCGCTTTCCTGCCTCCAGTCCGTCCCACACACAGCTCTCAGAAAGACCTTCCAAAAGCCCTGTTTTTTAACATATTATTTATTTGGTTGTCGGGTCTTAGTTGCAGCAGGCAGGATCTTTCACTGTGGCTCACAGAGTCTATAGTTGCAGCACATGGGCTCAGTTCAGCTCTGCAGCTTGTGGGATCTTAGTTCCCTGACCAGGGTTAGAACTCGAGTCCCCAGCATTGCACAGCAGATGTTTAACCACTGGACCACCAGGGAATTCCCTTAAGCACCTTTAACAGGCTTCACAGGTCCTCTTAGTTGACCAGAGTCTTTGTTTATTGCCCTTTGAAATGCTGATTATCACAGCTACCTCATGGAGACCCTACAAGAACTGGAAAAGGCAACATGTTATCTTAGGCTCACTAACACAAGGTCTCCTGGGAGCGGAGACAACTGGAAACAGCTGGGTGTGAGCAAAACACAGGTGTTCCTTGCTTCCAACCACTGCAACACAAAAGGATCTGATTTTGAGGGGATTTGAGACTGAGCAATACAGTGGAGTATCCATCAAAGGGCAGATAGAATGGAAACCACAATTACAGGAAACTAACCAAACTGACCAGTTGGATCACAGCCTTGTCTAACTCAAAGAAACTATGAGCCATGCCATGTAGAGTTCTGACAAAACATGGTCCACTGGAGAAGGGAATGGCAAACCACTTCAGTATTCTTGCCTTGAGAACCCCATGAACAGTATGAAAAGGCAAAAAGATAGG